CTAAGTCCAGGGATATGGAAATATTGTTCGAAGACAGAACAATAGTAATAAAATAAAATTTTTACTTACCTGTAAAATTTTTCTTGGGGAAATTGCTGCTATAATACATACACTGCCGGCGTGGAACACTACCGAGAGCGAAATATACTAAGAGACTGTCAAGACGACTGGTACGCAACGTTTACGGTTAGACGACAACTGATGTGGCGAACTGACCGCTGGCACTGCTAGCTGGCGACTGATGTCGGAGATCAGGTGTTGTAGCTGACGTAATTTAGACGAAGACAGCCATCACGGCCTTCCTGACGTCGGGGCGTCCTCGCACCGTTCACAGTTTGAACACAACAGCGGTAATCTGTAAATATTTAAGAACACTTACTGTTCAAAATATATCCGGGGAACAAATCAGAATTAATCTGAATTAATCTTGGAAACAAAATTTCCTTAACTGATTTTTCTGTCAGTTACTTTTACAACATCAAAGCAAAACAAACATTTCAAGGTTTGCCATATTAATCTCTGAGGGGTTAAGGCTAAACAAAACTAGTTTAAGAATCCAACTTTCAAAAATAAAAGTAACTTAACCAAAATACAAATTCTTGACGCTTTACATAGCCCACGTTTATTTTCGTAAAACCATGTCCAAACGAGAGGCTTGGGGACCTTAATTAATTTCTCACATTTAAGTTAAGCATCTTCTCAATATAGTCTGATAAGACAGAGACCCCCCAATTTGCTCAAACCAGAGTCCCAGAGACCTTGCACGTGCCTGCCTAGCAGGGACCCTTTAGTATAACCTGGTGAATCAGAAAACTTAAAATAAAATCAATTTATGCCTGCTACGCAGGGACCCTCTAGTATAACCTGGTGAATCAGAAAACTTAAAATAAAATCAATTTATGCCTGCGACATAAGGACCTTAACCTAAGTATAACCTGGTGAATCAGAAACCTTAAAATAAAATGAATTTATGCCTGCCACGCAGGGACCTTTAAATATAACCTGGTGAATCAAAACCTTAAAATAAAATGAATTTATGCTCGCCACGCAGGGACCTTTAAATATAACCTGGTGAATCAAAACCTTAAAATAAAATCAATTTATGCCTGCTACGCAGGGACCTGTAAGTATAACCTGGTAAATTAGAAACCTTAAAATAAAATCAATTTATGCCTGCCACGCAGGGACCTGTAAGTATAACCTGGTAAATCAGAAACCTTAAAATAAAATCAGTTTATGCCTGCCACGCAAGGACCTTTAAGTATAGCCTGCTAAACAGGGACCTTTTAACATAGCCTGATACACAGGGACCTCTAATATAGCCTGCTAAACAGGGACTTTTAAATATAGCCTGTTAGACAGGGACCTTTAAATATAGCCTAGCATAGCAGGGACCTTTAAATATAGCCTGTCATAACAGGGACCTTTAAATATAGCCTGTTAAACAGGGACCTTTAAATGTAACCTGTTATACAGGAACCTTTAAATATAGCCTGTCATAACAGGGACCTTTAAATTATAGCCTGTCATAACAGGGACCTTTAAATATAGCCTGTTAAACAGGGACTTTTAAATATAGCCTAACGAGAACCATCATTGCATAACGCTCGTTAGGCAAACAAGCCGTTATCTTAAACGGTCCTTTGTATCAAGGGCCTAATTTGCCTCCACTAAACTGGGTATTCTCTACTACAACTGTGTCTCAAATGTAGTAGGCTTTACTGATCATGCGTTTTTCATTTGAGTATGCTCGTCCACTCCTGACATTTACAGCAATGGTATTAAGGGGTGTTTTACCTTACTGATTATATCCCATCCAATTATTGTAATTTTACATTGCTTTCCAAGCGAATGCCTGTCGATTATCTAAGCCACAGATAAAAAATACTCTATTTTTTTTTGCTACAGGCTTTGGTACAAGTTTTACAATATTTTCTTAAAATTGTTTTAACCAATTCTGATGGTAGGTACACCACCATCTAAACATTTCAAGAATAAAGTCATTTACTTTAATTATTTTTGAAAAGAGATGTATTTCCTTTCCACACACCTAAAAACAAATCAAGTGGATATAAATTGATTCCCTAATTGTTATCATTATGCATAAGCATTATATTGGATATAGGCACCCAGAATGGTTCTTCAAAAGAAAACGTAAAATAAAATAACACATGCAGCTTGCGTATGTCTAAAATAAACAAACAAAAAATATGCTTTGTCTTATAAAATACATCACGAACTAATAAGCTCCCAGCTCTGTCTGGGCTAGCATTTTGTCTTTTTTTTAAGTCTGTTTTCTATACTCGTAAATTCCGATGAATTCTAGCAGTCTTATCTACTACGTCTTTCTAAACACATTACTCTAATGCACTTGCCATCTGAAAATGGATGGCCTGATTCTATGAAATGATTAGCGAAATTTCATTTTCTTTTTTTTTACTCTTTTTCATTTACCCAGCTCTAAAATGAGAATGTTGGCTGTGGACATTTTAAATTTACCACATCGTCAAAAGCCGCAACTAAAAGAACCTTTAGTACTTATGGATTTTTTCATCGGCCAAGCAGAAATATTTTTTTTATAAAAGATGTTCTATGTTCTTTGAATCTACCTTCTAAATTGCTACCAGTCTGGCTTATATAACAGATAGTGCATTCTGAACAGTTGAACTTATAGATTAATAGTGTTGTTTTCCTATATTTACATTAAAAAGTAAACCTGATATGGCCTAAGACGGTTCAAATGCTACCGCTGTACCATTTAACTTCTCATTATTTTATTTATTGCTTTTATTAAACCTAGTGTTTTGTCTTATTGTATTGTTTCTAATTCTTTAGTTCTGATAGCTTCACTTAGTGCGAGAGCACATGCTGAATGAACCATTGATTTGTACGCTGCTAATTTATGTTGTTTTTAATGTTTAAAATTATGATAACCTCTGTAAACATCAGCTTTCGCAAGATATCAAGTTCTAATTTCTCTAGTCTACTTTTGACATTGTTAGATCTAAGAAATTAATTTTATTATCTTAGTTAGTACTCAGTTTCATTCAGTTTCAGCTTCTCAGTTACAGACTCATTCAACTGATTTGAAAGAAGATGATCTACATGATCTACATGATCATACAAGGAACATGATCTACATGATCATACAAGAAAATAAAATATCAAAATGTTATGATTTTGAAAAGCGTCTCAGTAAATTCAGACAGAAAACTTTCTGCAAATAAATAACTTAGCAGAGAACCTAAGCAAAATCCTCTTTGTTTGTCTATAAAAATATCTTCAAACACGAAACAATTTTCGTTCATGTAGTTTAAAAATTCCAGAACTAATTGTTAAACGATAATGTTAATCTCACATTTTTGCATGTTTTATTTTTTTTTCTCATAATAAACGATAAATTTCTTTCCAGAAGGTAAATTCTAGTGTTAAAACATTTTTTAGCGTTCGGTTCCAACTGTTCGAAATAAAAATAGTTCGATTGCACCTTTAAATTATTTTAGTGGTTTCAATATGCTTGATAACTTGGTAATGTACTATTTAACAATCTGTATAAACTGTCAAAACAAACTCTGGCAATATATGGACATTTTATCTTAACTACAAAGGAAACTGACTGGCACTATTTTCATTGAAATTTAAAATTAACTATAGCATTACTATTTTTCTTGTATAACTTTTTTAACCAAGTTTTCAAGTTTTAAATGACGACTTGTTAAGTGAGAACAAAGAATTAAATTCAATCGTTCGTAAGAGTGTAAGTTAATTTTGACTGAGTATTGTTAATTCTGAAATAAGTTTTGTCTGATAACTTATTAAATTACCAATTCTTACATTACCAGTAAGAACCAAATTAAATCGTTTGTAAGACTGTATGTCAAATGGTCTGATACTAAGCTTTTTTTATATTGTGGAAGGCCATGGTCATAGTTGTTTACGAACGGAAACGGTGGTCCGCCGATCTTGCTGATATTTTGCTGATGCAGCGCATATCTGTGCTTAGGTACGCATATCGTACAATGGACGAACTGTGGGGCCTTACAGTCGTCTGTCAGCTGCGAAACTTTCTCGGTCATGAGGTCTCCAACCATAAACAAATAAAAATAAAATAGTTTGATTAATAATATACTCAATATTACTAAAACTTTTTAATACTCAACTTTTGTTGAGAAGTAAACAAATCAGTTTGGCTGTGCTAGACATTAAAGTGCTGAGCTCGCTTATTCGGGCTATTTTCTAATCGTCTTTCAGCTTCTGCACTGGCCTTGTCCAGATCGACGACATCGGTTTGGCGGTGTGTCAGCCAGAAAATGTTGGGAAACCAATAATCTGGAACTTGGTCCATGACGTAATACATTTGGTATGTGAACCAACTCCCGAAAGGATTGTGATTAGAAAGGAAATAAAGAAATGATTGTAATAAACTCGAGAAAATAGAAATTCCTGCTAAAATAACACGTGGTACGAGGTCGGCTTACCTTGGAGGGTTGTAGTCTTCTCCTGGGTGGCCACCCTGTATCTGGATCAGGAACAACTACTCGCACGAGTAAACGGTACCGAATTGGTAGGACCTTTTGAAGATTTAAAATAAAGTTATTTGCGGCGGCGGCGGTTAGCACGTTGAATCGATCTTTCGATAGATGCGGTTCTTGCGGGATCTTTAGTTCAAGTGTATTGTGGTACAAAGGATAATTGACGCAGGCGTGTTTCAGCCCTTTGGAATAACCTCCCTAGTACCACATATGCGTGTACAATAAATAATAGAATAAATTAATATTGAATTTAAAATTAAAAGAGATAAAATTAAATATATTTTGAGAGTTTCCTAAACATTCTGCCCGGCGAAAAGGCATGTTCTAAACATGCGTTTTAAATGCGTAACTTTTGAATGCAAAAAAAAAAATTGAGATAAAGATAAAGAAAAAAAAAAAAAAAAAAAATACATAAAAATAATTTTGTGTAATAGCAAAAAAAAAAAAAAAAAAAATAAATGGCGATAATTAATTGCTGGGTAAAGGACATAATTTAACTAAAGGACGCTGCAAAGTTCCCTTAGCTGTCCTCACCAGAGCCACCCGCACCACACCATCCGTCCCCTCACTTAACGAAATTATGCGACCCAAGGTCCATTGGCATGGAGGAGCATTTTCATTTTTTATAATAACTAACGTTCCTAGAGAAGGAGCGTCAGAGGAATTAAGCCATTTCTGGCGTTGTTGAAGCGAATGTAAATACTCCTTATGCCACCTGTTCCAAAAATCGCGATGCAATCGTTGTAAAAGTTGCCAACGAGAGAGACGGTTAATTGGTACAGCAGTAAAGTTCGGCGTAGGTAAACTGTTCAATGGCTCTAAAGTTAAAAAATGACCAGGGGTTAGCGCATTAATGTCTTCGACGTCCGAACTGATGGGATTGAGCGGACGTGAATTTAATACAGCTTCAATCAAGGTCAGGGTCGTATATAATTCCTCAAAAGTCAGGACTTGTTGTCCGATTACTCGACCTAAATGCGTTTTTACTGAACGGACACCAGCTTCCCAAAGTCCCCCAAAATGCGGGGCAGCGGGCGGATTAAAATGCCATTGAATATTTTCATGTTCAACTGCGGATTCAAACATAGTTTTAATTTCTTTGCTAGCACCAACAAAATTGGTTCCACAATCACTATATATGTCTGTGCAGCGACCTCTTCGGGATAGGAATCTCTGAAGGGCGCCCAAAAAGCTTCCGTGGACAAGCTACTAACTAATTCTAAGTGCATAGCTTTAGTCGCAAAACATATAAATAAACATATATATGCTTTAGTTGTTTTAGCACCTCTATATCTGTTCATAGTAATTAAGAACGGCCCTGCAAAGTCTACCCCCGTGTGTGTGAAAGCTTTTAATTGTGAAACGCGAGACGGCGGTAAATTTCCCATTTGCGGTTGGAAAGGCTTCGGATTGGATCGCCAACAAATTAAACATGAATGAATTACTGAATTTATAGCTCGTTTAGGAGAAAGAATCCAAACCGATTGAGATAGTAAAAAAAGCAAAGTGCGCAATCCTGCATGAAGGTATTTAAGATGGTAGTAATATATTAAATGGCGTGTTAGTAAACTAGAGCGAGGTAGTAAAATTGGATATTTTGCAGAATAAGATAGAGTTGAATGTTTTAATCTACCACCTACACGAACAATTCCTTGTTCGTCAATAAAAGGATTAAGTTTACGTAATGGTTTAGAAAAAGATTTAGAAATCAATTCCGATTGGAAACAAATCGATTGAGTCCTTTTTACAAGACACGTAAATGATTCATTTAATTCAACAGTTAAGAGCGGACCCGATCTTTTTTGACGGGGATTTTTTATATTAAAAAGGAAGCGTAAAACATAAGCGACGGTACGTTGAAGAGTAGCGAAAGAAGAGTATTTTTCTAAAAGAAGGTCAATAAAGTTCTCTTCAGAAGTAGCGGCGAAAAAAGAAGTATGTTTTTCTTCTTCGGAAGTACTATTTAGAGAAGCGCATGCGGAGGTTGAACCTAACATAGCATCAGGATCATGAAGAAAAGAAGGTCCTTGAAACCAAGTACTAAAATTTACAAACTCTGATGGAAATATTCCTCGAGAAGCAACATCAGCAGGGTTGTTCTTGGACTCAACGTGTAACCAAGTTGCGTGTGGGAGCTTGTCTTGAATATAAGCTACTCGGTTAGCAACAAAAGTTTTCCAACGACTAGGTGGAGAGTGAAGCCAATATAAAACAATATTAGAGTCAGACCAGGTAATAATTTTATCTAAAGATATTTTAGTTTTAAAAATGGGTACTAAATATGCGAGTAATTTAGCAAGAAGAACAGCGGCGCAGAGCTCAAGACGGGGAATTGTTAACTTCTTTAAAGGCGCAACTTTAGTTTTTGAAGCAACTAAATGAACATCTATTTTTTTGTTGTTTCTCAAAATTCTAAGATATACAACTGCGGCGTAACCTTTTTCAGACGCATCACAAAAACCATGCAACTCACATCTATTCTCACACTCGGAAAATAGGATCTTCCGGGGAAGGTCAATTTGAGACAACAAGTGCATTTCATTTTTGTAACGCGTCCAAATACGGATAATTTCGTCAGGGGGCTGTTGGTCCCAATCCATATGGGACGACCATAACTTTTGGATTAAAGTTTTAGTAAAAAAGGTAACAGGAGCTAAGAAGCCTAACGGGTCAAAAATACGAGCTAATTCTGACAACATGTTTCGTTTAGTACAAGGTCTGTCAAGAGAGTTAAAATGAAAATGAAAGTTATCCGTTGTGGGATTCCACTGAAGACCCAAAATTTTTAATGATGATTCAGGATCATCAAAATTTATATGAGTAGTTGATAAAAAGTCAGAAGGTAGATCACTCAGTAGATTGGGATCGTTACTTGCCCATTTTCTAAGGTCAAGCCCAGCTTTAGAAAACAAAGCTATTAGTTCATTTTTAAGGGCGAGAGCTTCACTGAAAGTGGTGGCTCCAGTAACCACGTCATCAACATAAGTATGATTTGAAATCGCATGAGATGCTAAGGGAAAATCTGCTCCTTCATCAAGGACTAATTGCTGAAGTGCGCGTAAGGCTAAGAAAGGCGAAGGCGATAAACCATAAACGACAGTAATTAATTCGTAGTCCTGAAGAGGGTCATTACGAGAAAATCTCCAAACAATTCTCTGATACTGATGTTGAGAAGAAGTGATCAATATATTGCGATACATCATTTTAATATCTGTACATAAAACGTACACATGAAAGCGAAATTGAATTAAGAGTTCAACAATGTCTTTTTGAAGTTTGGGTCCGGTAAACAAATGATCGTTGAGAGAGGTTTGGTTCGGGAGCTTCGCACTACCATTGAAAACCACTCGCAATTTGGTTGAGCTAGCTTGAGGCTTTAAAACGCAATGATGCGGAATATAATACGAAGCGGAAGATAACTCAGTTTCATGACTGACAGGTTTCATATGTCCCAGATCAAGATATTCTTTCATAAATTGACAATAAGATTTATACAATTCTTGATCTTTTAATAGACGACGTTCTAAAGAGAGAAATCGCTGTTCAGCAAGTTGACGAATACCGGGGAAAGTAGGAAAGTTATCGCGGAATGGTAGATGCACTACAAATTTTCCATCGGAATTTCTCTGGTATGTTTTTAAGAAATGTTCTTCACAAAAAAGATCATTATCTGACAGCATAGGCAAAAGAGGAACTGACTCTACTTCCCAAAATTTTGTAAGAATATCATCAGTATTAATTTTATGCGAATTACAAAAGAATGAAGTTACAGTAGACGTTTCACAAAATGTACCTATTTTACCCATTGGAACATACCCAAAAATTGTGTTCAAAAGATCTGGTTCTCCGTGAATCCCTCGAACACATCCGTTTAGGATAATTTTTGTGTATACATCAGCACCAAGCAGAATGTCAATAGGACCAGGTACATAAAACTTCGGATCAGCAAGTTTCAAATTGCTAAGATGAGACCAAGAAGAAGCTGGCAAAATTGCAGTAGGTAAGCTATCGCAAATTTTAGGTAAAACAATAGCGTCAGTATTAAGTACTGATTCCGGACAATTAAGCGGTCGAAATGAAAGTGTAACGGTAGCTTGCCCGGAGTTTGTAACCATATTATCAAGACCTTGAATTTCATAAAGTCCCCTTTCCTTTGGTAAACCAAGAGTATTAGCAGACTTCTCTGTTATGAATGAAGTCATACTTCCAGGATCAAGCAAGCATCGCATTGATTGATATATACCAAACTTATCTAATACTTCGATAACCGCGGTTCCTAATAGAACTGATGTAGATTTAGATAACAAGCCTGTCGCAGCGAAGCTCTGATTCAACGAAGAATTCTCATCGCGATTTGAAAATACAGTTTTAGAAGGTGTACCAGAAAAGTGAGGTTTATTATTAAAGCTATTTTCACGAGAAGTTGAAGGTAAAGCTGATTCGGGACTATGAGTGGCGCGTTCTATATTACTTGAAGAAAAATGCAAAAGAGTATGATGACGTTGATTACATTTACGACAAGACATAGCTGATTTACAATTTTGCGTAGAATGAATATTACTTAAGCAGTTAACACATAGATGTGCCCTTTTGGAAAGCTGATACCTTTCTTGAGGAGTTTTGCTTAAAAAAGTTGAACAATTATATAACGAATGCATTTCGTTACAAAGTAAACAAGATCCGGAATTACTATTTTTTGTTTGCTTTGCCAAAAGAGAAGTAGTACGACGAGGTTGTAATGGTGATTTAATTTTATTTGATCTTTTGTTATTAATTAAAGGTAAAGAAAGATTAAGAGATTCATAAGTTTTACAACATTTTTCTAAAAATTCAAATAATTCTTTAAATTTTGGTATTGTGCCTGAGGCAAGCGAAAGTTCAAACCTTGTTATTAAATCATCATCAACCCGTTCCAACAACATGTTAACTAATATGAAGTCCCAAGATTCAATTGGAAAATTTAAATTTTTTAAAGAGGCGAGATTTTGTGAAAATGTGTCCAAAAGATTTCTAAGAGATTCAGGTTGGTCGCGAATAGCTTTAGGGGCAGTTTTAATAGCATACCAATGCGATTGCGCTCGAAATCTTACGTTACTGTAGCGATCAACAAAGTTATCATATGTGGTTTGATAATTGTCTGAAGTCATTGGCAGGCTACTAACAACACCCAATGGTTTACCCTCGACTAACGAAAGAAGGTAACGAAATTTTTCTATTGGCGTTAATGTTGGATTATTATGTATCAGAGCATTATAGAGATCGATAAATGTAGAAAAAGTTCTATAATCACCATTAAATTTAGGAATATCTAAATTTGGAGGTTTTATATGATAATTATGTTCATTAGAAGTACCTGAAGTAGTAGCATTCATAGAATAATTTAATATTTTTGCGAATTTGCAGTATCAATTTCGCATAAGTCTACGTACATGGACTTTACGACATAAAAATCATTAAAAAATGCTGTTCTTATAACATTTTCTGGTTCTAAATCGGTGTCAGCTTCATTTGCAAGACTAGAAATAATATTTTGATGCTGTTTTATAAAGTCATCTTTGAGAACATCAAGTTCTGCACATCTAACTTTAAATAAACTGCGAACTGTTTTATCAGTTTTGGTACGTTCTGCTAACTGTAATAAATATTGAATCTCTGAAATAGAATTACTTCTATTGTTTTTCAGTTTTCTTAAGCGTATTTGTTCAGCCAAATTACTAAATTATGAAATAAAGTACAAAATAATATTATTTATTTGAATCTCCCTCGTAGTATAAACATAAAAATAACAACAAACAAAAAAAACTTGAAGTGCGTATGCTTATCAGTAAAATTATTGATTTGGTGAACAGTTCCCTTAGACGACGAAATTACTACTGACCATCGATAGAATATCCGTTGGCTATCGCGCAAATCTGTGGAATCTAAAATGGCCAGGCGCGGAATGGAACTGGCGATGCGGTCTTGCGCTGATAATATTGAAAAGAGAGAAAACAAAAAAAGGAAAATTTAAATCTTAGAGAAATATATAACTGTAGTTAATATAAACTTTTTTATAGAAATGAATGTAGGAAAATAGATATTGATAGAAAATCTAAATGCGAAAAAAAAAGAATAAAATAGGAGAGAAAAAAAAAATAACTTTTTTTTTTACTTTCAAAAGTTCGCTATATTCGGCGTTATCCGGCTACGAAGGACCAATGATTAGAAAGGAAATAAAGAAATGATTGTAATAAACTCGAGAAAATAGAAATTCCTGCTAAAATAACACGTGGTACGAGGTCGGCTTACCTTGGAGGGTTGTAGTCTTCTCCTGGGTGGCCACCCTGTATCTGGATCAGGAACAACTACTCGCACGAGTAAACGGTACCGAATTGGTAGGACCTTTTGAAGATTTAAAATAAAGTTATTTGCGGCGGCGGCGGTTAGCACGTTGAATCGATCTTTCGATAGATGCGGTTCTTGCGGGATCTTTAGTTCAAGTGTATTGTGGTACAAAGGATAATTGACGCAGGCGTGTTTCAGCCCTTTGGAATAACCTCCCTAGTACCACATATGCGTGTACAATAAATAATAGAATAAATTAATATTGAATTTAAAATTAAAAGAGATAAAATTAAATATATTTTGAGAGTTTCCTAAACAGATTGTGATTAAATGCGGTCCATGTTTTTCCTTGTTCAGCAGTAACAGTTGCTCAAGCTCCAGCTGTCTCTCTCTCTTTAAAATATTCAGAAGGCGGATCGACATTTGTTGATACATTTCCATTTTAATCTCCAACACACTCCGACGGAACAATGTCTTCTCTTCAATTTAATGTTTTCGTTCTGAAGGCACTCACAAATTGATTGTTTTATTATTTATTTATCCTTTAACGATCACTAATACACAGGAGAAATTATTCTTCTGATAGATCAAAATCGGTATCGTCAGAAACTGGCACATTTCGTCATGTTACGCAATACTGTCTTAATGTTCAAAAACTTCACTTTTCACTACTTTTGGGCACACTGGGGCATAATCTCACTTCTGATGTTAGATTAGGGACAGATAATTAGTCTTTTTACTTAAATTAAACCACTATATTCCTCAAAATACGTTTTATTCCGCTTAGAAATACGTGAACAGTTCGAAAGTCGATCTAAACTGACTAATCTTATAACAATGATGCAACATTTGCAATATTGCTCCAGCTTTGTTTTTCGAAGAAGGGCCACGCTGCGGCGGTCTCGGAGATCAGGTGTTGTAGCTGACGTAATTTAGACGAAGCCAGCCATCATACATATGGTTTAATTTAAAATAAAGGTTTGAGCAATTTTATAACAAACAGGAATTAATAATAATTTTGCTCTCCCGGTGTAATATCCAATTAGTTGGAACAACACATCGAATATAATATGGACTTTCGTTAACATGCAACCCAAATTTCAACGTTAAAAATGTTTAGTTTATGATTTTACCAAGGCTTATTCACGGTCATGTTTTTGTCAATTTTACACACATTTTATTTTATATCTCAAAAATTATTAGAGATTGGTTAGTTATTAGTATAGGTGAGTATAATAGAAAAATTATGAGATATGAAAGTAGTTTCCAAAAATGTAATAATATACTGGGTGTTCCATTTAAAATAAGAAAGATGCTTTTCGTATGATGCGGCAACACTGTAATGCTGAAAATATTTTAGAAATATGGAGGTGCCTTTATGTAAAAACACAAATTTTCGAAAAAATTCTGTCACCGGTTTTCTCCATAAACGTCTATCGTACCATCGCCGTGAATCTGCCTATACCGGGTGAGTCTCAAAAGTGTCTCATCCCTATAACTTTTTTATTTGTTTAGATAAAAAAAACGAGATTCGGTATTTTAGTATATGAGATAAATTAGGGTTGATTGGCGTATTCAATTCCTTTTGGTCACTTCCTGTTTCATCGGAAATGACTACTTTTGATTTTTAAATGGCACCCTCGTTATATCTCTACCTTAATCGATAGAAAATGACTCTCTGTATAAAATGACATACCATATGTCAACTTTTTTCATTTTCGCATATGGTTTATTTGAAATTGTAACATGTGGTTCATAACGACAATTTGACTCGAAATACCAAGTGTGTGGAACCAAATTATTCGTAAAAAAATACTTTTTCCAAATATGCTAATGAACCACCCTTGTTCCATGTGAAAAAATTAAGCTTAATTTTTATTTTAGATATGATTAAAATAAGATTTGGGCATCTTTTAACGGTCCAGGACAAGACTACGAATAACATTAGACGATCAAATCTATTTTTGCAAGCCTCCTTGATTAAAAATTAGTGTTTCTAACACAGCCATGGCACTCTAGATTGAAATTTAAAATACGTTTTTTTAAAACGAAAATGCCAAAAGTTGACATATGATATGTCGTTATATTCAGAGTATCATTTTCTATCGAATAAAGTAGAAATATACCGAGGGTGCCATTTAAAAATTAATAGTTTTAGTAATATCCGGTGAAACAGAAAGTGATCAAAAACAATTTAATACGTATCAATCCTAATTTATGTTATATACTAACATACCAAACCTCGTTTTTTATCTGAAAAAATAAAGAAGTTATATGAAAAGTTATGAGCGAAAACTTTTTTGAAACCTCGCCCAAATACCAAATGTCTAGAATTTACCAAAAAAGTTATTTAAACTTTCTGACTTTCTTAAAAATATTTGAGGCGTCCGTCAAGATAGAAAACCCGTCTTATCGCAAAAACGTTGTTTCGAGAAAATGTGCAAAAATTGTTTTAGCAAATGTTTACAGCGTTATTTTACAAAAAATGTGCCCATTGGGTCATTGGATAGCCTTGCAACACGTGTGATAAAGATTCCGCACGGTTGCAGCTTCCGCGACATTCTTGTTGTTCGGGAGGGTTCGGGGGTATGCCTTTAGTTGGTAAGGCATTGGCATGGAGGTGGACCGCACGTACAAAGGCGCGACCGGTCCATCCTCTAGGACGTCTTATAAACCAGCTCCTGCTGGCCTGGTCGTCAACTGCATGTGTAATGCCTGTTGTCATAGGCCCGTTGTCCGCTACTTCACGCCATTTTTGGTCGGGAGGGATGTTGCCCGCTAAGTTTTGTAGCTTTTCGAATGTCTTGTGGTGCATGTCTGTCTGCAGCACCCTGTTTACCACTTCATCATCAGTCCTGGCCAGCAATCTTTGCATCCTTCCTAGTAGTTGGTTGGGTACCGATGATCGCAGCTCTATAATACCGAGGCCCCCGTCTTTGATTTTTGCGAACAGGACTGCATCCGACACATGGTTGTGGAGGTGTAAGATTTTCTTGGCTGCGCCTTTCAGCATCCTGTCCGCTTCTTTCAAAATCTCCCCGGTCATTTGAGATGTTTGGAGACCGTATAGAGCTTCTGGTATTACGTGGCCTTTCAGGATCGTTAGTTTTTGATCTGGTTTAAGGGGGGCCCGGTGCAGTCTTGCTAGCCAGGTCTGTAGATTACATAGGGATGGTTTCCGGACACCTGTTGTGCCGTACAT